TAGCTTCCCTGCGTCCTCCACCTCTCATCCTCCCTTCTCAATCTGCTCCCTTTGATCCTGGAATTCCTCAAGCTCGTCCCCATCTCCGTCTTACCGCAGTGCCTTCGCCAGCTTCTCTTTCCACCAGAGCCTTTTCGCCATGTCGTGTCAATAGGCAGGGTGTGTGGGCCTTCGAACATAAGCATTTTTCGCCCACGTTACAGGCGTTGAACATTGAGGCATACTCTCCGGGCTTAGCGGCCTTTAGACAGCAGTGTCGTGATAAAGCCCGTGGTGTTGGCATCACCGGGGATGTGAACTTAAGCACCGAAAAACAGGGCCAGAATAGCAGTAATGAGGAGCATCCACTGCCCACTGCGGGACCTGCGTCAGTGTCGGACACCCCTTTCTATTACAGGCGGTGGAATCACCTGAAAGACAGCTCTTCCTCAGTGACAACCTCGCCCCAAGCGACGCCTTTCTTGCCTCCACATCCATTTTCCGCTCAGAGTCCTTCACCACACCCGTGGGGGTTGAACAATAACCTTGTGGATAAGGGCGCGTCAAATTCAGCCTCTAAACAGAAATCCGATGGCATCACGAGCGGGCGGGCATTGCACAGAAAATCTCTGTTAGGAAAAATAACCTCCTTTCCAACCCGCAATCAGGCGAGCCAGAGGATCTATCAGAGAGTCGATCAGAGTCTGGTTGACTATAGGTCAGCTCCTTTCCACACCTTTCCTTAATTTGTCTCCACATAATGTTCTGAAAGTAGCCTCTGCCTTCTTAAACATATTTCCGGTAGTTTGCTTTTTTCAGTATACCTACAGTGCATGTGAAAATCTGGGTGCCGGAATTAGTTATATGGAGAGTAAATAAGAAACACGATCAAGAAACACATGTACACGGTCCACGCACGTAATGCCCCCTAACTTCGCATGCACCACACTTATTCGAGAGGTCTCGGCTCTTACATTAGAGAGAATGCCATATAGATCACATTGAGCAGGAATCACTGCAACTTGATTACCAATTATGAGCAGGATCAAATTATGAGATCAGTTGGTGGCCTTCCGAGCCACTACTGTTAGTGCGTCGTGAGAGGTTAATTCTTGCCAAGTCTATTATAATCAGGAGTGCACCGATTTGCCACAACGATGGACTCTGTTTCTCAGCCGTTAAACAATTGGGCATGTTATTTGCATCAGTCATTGACGTGGCGTTAAAGTCTCTGTCTGCAGCGCTCCGCAGACATCTGAGTTCGACTGTCGGTTTCGACGACGCCCACCGAATGCTGCACAGCAGGATGGTGCAGGGACGGTGACTTGCGCGTGAGTTATTATTAAGTGATAGTAGACTTTCGCGGCATCTACTGCACTCTTTCTTTACTCACTCACATGCCCCAGCTGTCAAAACTAACTCAAGAAGACAGGAGGCGGGATCGGGCGTAGGTGTCTGGCGCGGCCGAAGCCGCCCCTATGCGTACCGCCACGTCTGGTTCGGATCCCAGCTACTTAGGAGTGCCGTAAAGGTCACATTAAGGAGACATCGCAGTCTGACTCTCATTCCGCCAGTCAGCCACTCCGCACAACAAGACATACACTGAACTGACTGCGCGGTCCAAGTTATCCCGTCAGTTGGCAACCCTCCAAGCCACCGTGATAA